TTACTAACCAGTAAGGCTACTAAATCCCGTGAAAGTTATGGTGGGTAAATTTACTACTGTTACTCTGAATGATTTTGTTCCATTCAACTGAGTTACAAAACTAATGACATCTTATTTCATGCTGAAGAAAGTAATCACCCTCAGCAATTCTCAGTAAGTATTACCAACCTGATAGTTTTATACAAATGTATGATATTATCATGAGTGAATAAATCCAATATTCTGACCAAATATATTCTTAAGAACAGAAATTGTTAAGAAAATGCTGTGAGAAGAATAGGATAAACACAAGAGAAAACTGAAGCTGAAAATCATGTTTTATCAGCCATTAAAGAAAGATTTCCTCAGTTGATGCCCACCTCATGCAAACCTTTCTTTTGTTTGTTCATGGAAAGTCAGATTTTTGGGTGCTGCTGCAATTCTTCCGAAAAATTCATCCAGGTTCTTTGAAGAAGCTATTTTTCTGGTGCTATTACACCTACGTCAAGTATTAATTCTCCTTTAAATAATAATTAAATTATCTAGGCCATCTTAAAGTGTGCTGAACTTCAAACCAGGCAACAATTCTTGGATGGTTTTTAAAAAAATAATAATAAATTTTTAAAAAAAATCAAATAACTGACAGTTGTTGTGGTTGACTTTTTATTAGTATCCTTGGGACCACAGCTATCTTAGGTAACAAATGTACTGAATTTCCAAAGACACAGAAAGCATCAAACAGTTTCTTTGTACTTGTGCAGTAAACTGATGTCCTCTTTATTCCCTAGAGGAAAGGCATCAAAGATAAGAGTACTCCAAAATTTGTTTCAATGTCCAAACTTAGGTAAGCTGAGCTCCCGTTTCCCCAAGGAACAAACTTAACTCTGTAAGTAGATCAATGTCTGCTTCTCCTTATCTAACACTCAGTGGACTTTGAAGTACAGAATCTACTTCTCCAACCACTATGGAAGGAATGCTCTTGCACGGAGCAGTAGGCCAACTTTTGCACCCCTTCTTGCTTGTTCCCCTATATCATTGGTATCACTTGTACATCTCCTAAACAAATCTTTATAGATTACCATCCACGTTGTTACCACTCAACAACGAACCAGAGAAGCATACCTCTTCATAACCTCCTCCTCCTAAAGAGCCCAGTGACTGAGGTCCTCACAGGGAACATGGGAGCCCCTGAACTACCTAAATGAAACCAGGAACGTAAATCCTTAATTCTTGACACCACAAATAAATGCCCTCATAACTGAATTAAAGAATTTACCTCTCTCTCACCATCTCCTCCTGGCACTGCTTCAGTCATTGTACATATGACTTATCTGAGAAGAGCCTGACTCTATGGACAGTGAATGAGACATTTATACAAAATGTAGAAGAGACAGATTAAAATTCCTCTTCTAATTTACATTTATTTATTTATAAAAAAATGGAATAGCTTCAGTGCAGTGTTACCATTAAAAGTGGAATAGTCCCTCATTCCCAGAGGAAGGACTTGAACTTCAGTCTCTCACGTGTCAGATAACCGCTTCTGTCAAAAATCAGTATTTCCCACTGCAGAAAGTTTTAGTAGAAAAACTCTGCTTTAACAAAACAACAAGCCTATGCAATATTTATTTTGTATGGTATTTATAGGAAATTGCCATATTTTTTGTCTTAAATACCTTTATAGTATATATTTTTTATAATTTTAATTAAGCCTTTTTTACTACCTTACTGCTTTGTATTATCACATTTGCCTTTTTTACACTAGTTTTTCTAAAGTAGATCTTTTCCTACCTTGTTTTAATGTATTTACACATAACTTTCTCACACATTCTATACACTTTTCTCCCTCCTCCTTTTCCTACAGTCTCTTCTCTATCTTGTCGCTTGTTTGTTCTCTTTTTCTGTTTCAAAATCTCTTTTACACAATCAAGCTTGAATTTCTGAATTAATGCATAGTCTTACCTCTTCACATAAAACCTTGAAAACTACTCCCAACACCTATTACACAAAAGATTGAATCTACAGAACAGAATTTGATATAAAAGACGGAAGGAGAAGTATTACCTACAGGAACCACCCAGATGAAAAGAAAAAACACATTTCTAGCTACTCAAATTCCCACCAGGATATTTCTCCTTGGATCTTTCCTTTTCAGTGTGTATCAGCCCTAAGCCACTAGAAGCATGATAAATTTTAAGCCTTTACATTGCTCCCTTATTCCATACATGCTTTAAGAGAAAAGTTTTTTATTTTTTTCTTGAAAGTGTTTTACTAGAGAGAAATAGTTTCTTTTCTTCCCTTAAATTCCTGTCTAGGAGAGAAGTGTCAGTTCATCCTGCTCAACTGATAACTCCAGCTTTTACTTCCCTGTTTTCAGTTTTTCCATGAAATGAACTGAAACTTGCTTGTGGTAGTCTCATAACTCTCCACAGAGAAAAGCAGTAGAGAAAAAGATATGCTTTTGACCTACGTATAGTGTTTTTTTGTTTGTTTGTCTGTTTGGTTTTAAGGAAAGCAGAAGTGACGTTTCTGAACCAGCTTCTGCACAAAAGACATTTAAGCACTACTTTTGCAATTTTTAATTTTATTTTTAAATGAGAACCTATTCTCCAGCAAATGTTTCAAGCTACCTGCGTATGATCACAACAGATCAGTGGAATTTTCAAATCCTAGATACTATTATACACTTCAAATTCACACAGTTTATTAGGAAAAAAAAAAAATCCATGTTCTCCTCTCATCAGCACTGTAATCTTATGCTTTGATAAGGTCGGCTGGTTTCATTCAAGGATGAGACCTCTTCTTAGAAGAAACACTGGAAGATCAAGGAAAATAATTCCTTAATTCAATCTGGCAACGTTGCATGAGGAGTTATCACAATCTTCATTCAGTCCATTTACTGTCCAGGCCAGTTATTTTCATTTCATAAGGGACAGAAGTGCCTAAATCAACTAGAAGACTGAATACCAGAAAATCCAGAAAAGAATGCAATTTTTATTATTATTAACTAAAATTGGAGTCCTTATACTCACTCTACCATAATTTCCTGTATTTGGAAGAGTAATTCATAGGATCTGTACATGAAATAGACATGGTATCAGCATGTAACTATCTGTATTCTCTTTTTAGTCATAACATAATGACTCCAAATACCTTCAGTGGGGTTCGACTTCCATAAAATACTGCCTTATCTAACCAGATACACATCCAATTCCCACTACAGTGATTACAGGATGCAAAAAATAGCAATACGTTTAATATAATAAAATTGAATATGATCTAATCTTCATTTTGCATGAAAAAAAAATTGCAAATAGTATGTGTTCTAAACATGTAGTACATTTACCAGAATTTTAAGATGCACAAAAAGGGAGAGTGGCTTTTACAGTAGCTGGAATTACTTGACTAAAGAGAACTACGAATTTAAAAACTATGCTAAGAAAGAAGGAAGTCAAAAGATATGAGCACAAAGTCTGATGTCCCAATGTGATCAAATGATTATATTTTTTTAAAGACATTTTCACATCAAACTCTTCGAGTTTTTTCCTGTGTTTTTAAAGAAGCATTCAAAATGCAGAAATACCTAATCTGTTTTTAAAGATAATATCCATTTGAGGGAACAGAGTTCTGATCTCTGTCACACTGGCAAAATCATTGCATAAAAGAAATAAAAATAACAAAACAGCAAAAGGAACTATAATTCTCCTCTACCACAAATATTTTCTTAAAGATTATCTGTTAATTTAGTGATAGTATCCCAGTTTTAAATGCTCAGCCTCTCATGTTAGTCAAGACAACACCATCTCCACAGAAGAATGAAAATGCAGGCATGTAAGCATTGCTATGAAAATTTAAGTAACTACAGCTCTTCAGGTTTTGGAACTTGCACTCTAGAAATTAACTTCCTACACTGGACCTACCATATGCCTATATTACATTCAATAATCCTAAACTATTTTTTGTTCTGCCTCTGAGTCTTGATTTAAAATTAACAAAAACTTCATGTTAAAAGAAGGCAAGCATCACTTTCACAATACTAGGTTTCTTTTTCACACGAAGTATAGTCTGGTTCTTTGTTAGTGGATTGCACAAAACAACAATAACTTAATGGCCCAATGTTTTAATATGTTTTCTTTCTTTGCTTTATTAAAAAAAAACAAACCATGTTTAAAGAGAACCATTTTCTATACTGAATACTTTCAAGCCAGCCGCAAAAAATTCAACTTAATTTAGCAAAATGTGTAACAGTCACAGTGACAACATTGGTAATCAGAGCAGAACATTAGCTTAGCTTGGTCAATATAATAGAAATAGTGACTCTTAAATGGGCTTTTCTAATATTTACTACAGGAAGTCTCATTTCTGTAGCAGGATGCAAGGCATGTATTACACCTACAAAGTTCCAATGTTAAAAAAATTACACAAATTGTGAATTGTCTCTCACATAGATGTAAAGGTAACAAAATTATATCCATAAAATGTAAATGTTTTTTACTGTCAAGTATTGATAGGTGAATCAGCACTCAGCACAAAACTGGAAAAGACCGTGCCTCTAATAAATTCAGTACAAGCCTAGCAAAAAAGCCTGCTGTTATCATGAAAGCTCATGTTATCATGAGATTACAACAGACGTTGAATGAGAATATGTACAAATTTAATGAAATGTAAAAGAAAACACTTCAAATAAAAACAAATTTCTGTAGTGCCTTCTATTGCATCTCATCGCCTGCTAAGGGCTCTTGTCACTTCAGCTGCCATATTTAACTACATGGCAGTGCCCTCACAACAACATGACATACAACTAAAATTTTTCTTACTCTAAGAGACAAAGTTGGTTCCATTAGAAAAAAGTTCTGAAAAAAACCCAAGAAAGTATTCCCATCTTAAATAAAATGATCATATAGGGAAATATTGAACACTGTTTAACAAATTAAAACATCACAGATTTAGAGCTCTTCATACACAGGTACAAACATACACATGCATATGCACACACAACTGTACACACAGACACTTTCATTTACCTCAATAGCTCTCTTTATATATGGTATCTGTGTGCCACTGTCCAGATCTTCGTTAATTATAAGTCTCCTAGCCCACTGACCTGCTCTGACAACGCCATTACCATGAATTAGGACCAACAGCTTGTCAGGATTTGTTAATGCATCTTCACTCATAAAGATAAAGCTCTTTGGTTCACTCTCAGTTGCATCAACCTGCAATTACAGAGAACACACACTTTTACGCATCAATAAAATTTTTTAAAAGAACATCTGTAGTTATAAAGTTAGCCACCAAACTGATATAAAAACTTTCACTATTTAACAACTATTTGTATGCATATTATAAGGACTAGTGTGTGCCCAGTACTAAATAAAAATAAAACAAAACCTAATATCTGTGAAATGTAACTTCCAAACATAAGAATATATCACAGTTTAGAACAGTAATCCAAGGGAGATTTAAATCAAAAAAAGGGGTAAAAAGTATGCTAAAGCTTTGAAACATCAGTTGTTTACAGAAATTTACTGGCAAAGAAGAAGTCCATAAAAGAACAATCTGTGGAGGGGGAAGGGGGAAACAATCAAGTCATTTGTCACCTCCAATATGCCTGAAGCAACAATAAAAGTCTTACATAATATGAAAAAAATCCTAGAGAGTTCCATCTCAGCCACTTCAACATAAATACCCAATAAGCCATGTATGAACCAGTGTTGTAAATTTGTCTATTATAAATTTAATAGGATAGGCCTAATAAAATATAGAAATCCAATTTGGGTCTAAATAATGGCTTCATTAAGAGTTCTGCACCTGAGTCAATGCTTTGCTACAGGAACAGATCAACAACCAGCTTTGATATTCAGTAACCCATAATCTAATTCTAAGTTTTGTCCTTACTTTAGAGAGTAAAGTGGCACTTTTTGTTCAATAAAAACAGAAGTCCTATAAAACAGGTCTACCCTTGGTTTAGCAAGCCTGGCTCAAGGCAAATGAACTGTGCTGGTGTAAACACCATGAGAACACAAAGAAACATCCCATCTACTCATTCTTCTCTTTCTACCATATGAGTACATAGAAAAGGAAGAACAGAACAGGCGAACCTCCCTGTCCTGCTGTAGTCCACACCCCACAACCTGCACAGGCTAACTGTACAGCTGCTAGGAACAACCCTGGATTGTCTTATGCTCTGCAACAGAGACGAAAAGGAGGTCAGGATATGAGACTTATGTTGAGACAGGAGGAATGGCTATTTGGAATACGTCAGTTTTTCTCTCATACATGGGTATGTATTCTCAGTCACCCTTACTTTAGAAAAATTAATTCAGTGTGAATCTCCAGACTTTTTGAAATGTAAGTCCTACTGAATATTTTTTTAATTAAGTCAATGAGGCTACTTGAACAAAAGGAATTCCTAACTGGAAGAATGGTCCTGTCTCTCTTCTGCATCTGCCATAGTGCTGAAGACATTATTCCCCGCTCCAAAATGATGTAACATCTCATGTACCTCAGCTTGCACTTTCTACACCAGGAAATGTACTCACCCTCTCTCCCACCTTGTGAGAGAACAGAAAACGTGGTAAAAAATACATTCTATTGAAAAGAGTTTAGAATATGTAAGTACGACAGGTACCATACTGGGGCTACAGTTAGATCACGTTGCTGCTTCTGAAGCAGAAGTATTGATACCTTAAAATTTAACATGGCTTAGGTAAACAGTCAGACAACACTAAATCTCAGATAGTTCTTGGCAAGATGTATTTGACTTTTTCCCATAAACTGAATACTTATGATACTGTAATTAAGAAAAACCATTGTGAATTTGTATTTCAGACAAAGATAAAACTTAGCTGTATGTTTTAGTATTTATAAACTAAATTTTTATTTAGTATTTAGGAAATACTAGCACTTAGTAATCATATGTACTAGAAGATATAACTAGTTCACACTCCTGCAAATATGTTAATTTAAAAAAGTTAAAAATATCTACCAAGATAATAAAAAATAACTCTTCATTCTCTTCCTCAAATTATTCACATTTGAAAACTTTTTTCCAAGCTAATTTATCTTCATCCAGTAGTTATCCGTTAGATCAAGCTTTCACTAAAGAATACACATAAAGGTCACTCCTGTGCACAACCTTACTTTATCGGCAAAACAACGTAGATACCATTTAATGCTAGACACACTGAGTCCGCATAAAATAATTTGTACTTATTAGGCACTTTCTCTTCAGGACCTACTCATGAACAGTTATTTCTGATCCTTTATTTAAACACAAATCAAATAAATTCAGTAAAATGCTGAACTTCAATTAGCTTAATTTAACAATTTGATTCAACATTGTTATTCACATGCAATAACAATCTTCCAATAATCTGTAGCTAGGCATGTCAAACCAATCTAAATTCTGCTGATAATTTACTGTTTAAAAGTACTGTTTAAAGTTTAATTTTCCTGTTCTCAGATTTATTTTTTCAACACACAACTGTACCTTAAGGTTTACGAATGTATGCAGTTATGGTGAATTCTGTGAGTTATGCGCTCTACATATATTATGACATTCTTAAGTTTTTCAAACAGTGAATTAATTTTACTGTATGGGTTCTGTCTCAAATGAGAGACTACCTAATACAGTAGTACCAGTTTATAGAATACTTCAGCAGCATGCTAGTTGGTATTTTGCACAGTTGCTATCAATATATAGGGTAAGATCAAACTATATTTGAAATCTAATCTTACTGACATTCATGCTACCACATTGACACTGACTCGATTTTCAGTTCTTAGCCATTACCAACCCAAGATGCACAAAATCTGACTAGGCTCTAGGGGTCTTTTATTTTTGTACATTGGAAGTTTTCAAGATTAAGATTGAATGCTAAATTTTTAAAGCGAAAAAAACCCCACTAATATTTTTATTATTCCAGTTAAGAAACACAAGAAAATTATGAGCCTAGAGCCTACAAGCGAAACAGGTGTCATTTGTGACTGGAGGAAAGAACATGGCAAATAAATGGAACTGAAACTGAAAAGACTCAAAAAGATTGTGAGAATTGTGAGCAGCTGGTTGAGAGAGAAAACTGCTCATTGCTTCACAAGATAAGAAAGTCTTCTGTTAACATGGTTCTACATGAAGCTCTCTAACTCATGTTACTGTCTTCACAATATTGAATATCCTAATTTATAATTTTGCACTCAAAATTGTAGAAAATGAAAACTGCTGATCAATATTACATGCATTTAGCATTTGGTGATTACCACAACTAACTTAACACACCTAAAAATGGTGGAATTTTTAGAAAACAAGTATTGACTGGACTTAGGTAACAAAATAGCCAAAAGGAACATGCAGTGGAGATAAGAGACAACTGTTTCTCAAAGAAAATATTCTTGGCTGTCTAGTAGATCAAAAGAACAACTGAATGAAGTTTTACCTATTGAAGTGAAAGAGCAAAGCACTGATAAGTTGGAAGATTTCTGCAAAGTGAGACCTTTCGGTGCCATTGTCAATAAAACATGTTAGTAATTATTTAAACTTCCATCTCAGGCCTTCCCAGAAGCTGTTAAAGATGTATTTAATTCAGAAGCACCCTCTATTTGTCCTCAACAGCTAAAGAACAGCAAAGATCAATCACTGATTATGCCATTAAAACTAGAGAAATAGAAAGACTTTATCTGGATAAAAAAAATTACAGTCTTCTTTATATTCATAATATAACCTTTAATGGAGCACAAAATAAAAAATTTGAAAGAAATAATTGAACAGCTTCTCCCTGAATATTAGTCTCTTCATTTAAATTTTCAAGTCCAGTAGTATATGTTGAACATTAAGAGAACTACAATACTTTACAGTAACAATAATGTAAGATGCATCTGAGCCTCCCTGTGTAGGAAAAAATGTTCAGATTTGTTTTGTCAGAGATGCTGACATAATAAAACAATAGGCTACCTTTCCTGATTTCCAAACTGCTCTTATTTTCATATCTGAAAAGAAATTTACAAACAATTGTGTCCAAAACCAAAGCTGCCACCTGAGAAAGTCAAATAAAGACAGCAAGTTGGACTTTGCACATGAGGTTGAAATTAAGAAAGATGAGAGAACATGAAATGTTGTCATCATAAACCTCTGAAGCATAACATTTCCATGCACTACTAAAATCATGCTGAAAAAAAAAAGTGCTCCACTTAACACAGTTCTGAAACACATTTCATATATTCAAACATCATTACACTGTCTACTTCCTTATCAGCTGACAGAAAAACAAAGGCCAATACACCAACTATCTGATCACTTGTGATGAAGTTCAGAAAAAACATGTTTTCGTATTCACCTCTAAAATGTTCATATAATAAGGTCATCTTTGTAAGAATAGCCATCCTGGACAGATCAAGGTCCCAGGGTCTTGTTTCTGCCAAGTGGCAGATTGCTGAGGGGAACAGTTTGAGAACAGAGCTACAGAGTGATTCTTCCCTGGTTTTGGCAACCAGTAACTTTGGAGCCTCCTGAGCCAGAGTTTAGAACTGGACAAGCATGTACAATAGTTCAATGCACCTATCCCACCTTAGTATTGTCAAATGGTTTTTTTGAATGCATTTATACCTTTCTCCGTGACAGTATTCTGTGGCAATGAGTTCCACAATATAATTGGGACGTATATGAAATAGTACTGCTGCTTTTTCAGTAGAGATCTCCTGCCTGATAATTTAAACTTGATGCCCCTTAGCTTCTCTATTATGAAAAAAGCGAAAACCCATTCCCTATTCATCTTCTCTACACCTTTCATGATTTTATAGATTTGTCATATTCCTTCCTCAGTCATCTATTTTCCAAGCTGAAGAATCTTTGTCTACTCTTTCTTTGTCTGAAAAGCATTTCATGCCTGTGATCATCCTTGTAACCCTCCTCTGTATTTTTTTTTTAATTCTTCATATTCTTTTTGATATGGTGTCCAGACTCCATGCAGTGTTCAAGATGGGGGCCCACATAATGAGTGGAATGACGATGTTTTTCTGTTTTGTTCTCAACACCTCATAATTCCTAACATCCTATTTGCTTTGAGGGTTTTTCACTGCCATTGAGCACTAACTGATGTTCTCAGAGAACTATTCACAATCACTCCAAGCTCTTTCCTGAGTTGCAATAGCTCATTTAGAGGCCACCATTGTGTTTACCGAGTGAGTTATTTTCCCCATAATTTCACATTTACCAGAATTGAATCTCATGTCATTTTATCATCCAATCATTCAGCATCATGAAATAATTCCCCAACTCATCACAATCAGCTTTACATTTAAGTATTCTAAATACTGTTAGGAAAAAACCAGCAAACTTTGTTAGCTTCTATTGATGCCTTTTTTCCTTTTATTCACAGCTATGTCAGTGCAGGCCTTCATAACACTGCACCAGTAACAACTTATTCTGTAAAGCATGAACACCTTTTTTTCCCCTTTTAACTAATTATTAACTCTTAAGGGGACTCCCTCCTCCCATGCCATGACAGTGTCTTTTTTAGAAGCATTTGGTAAGCTTGTTGACAGCTCATTCAAAATCCACTTACTCTTTTACTGACAAGATCTTTCTTTTTCATGTGATCTCTGACTCCTTCAAGGAATTCTAGTAGTTTTTTTAAAAAGAAACCTGTACTGACTTTTCCCCCTATATCTTATTTCCTCCTGGTATACAGGAATCACTACGAATCACTCCTGGAGGCCTTTCAAAGACTACCACATTTACCCTTTTTCCATTCCTCTGATGAAAATAGCTGATTTCAGAAGGAAGTTACATACTAGTTGGTTGTTCTGCGGCTTCATATTTGACTTCTTATAGTACCCTGGGCTTAAAAACCATCTCATCCTGGAATTTGATTATTTTATGATATATCAATTTGTTCTAAGATCTCCTCTACCAATATGCCAAATTTCAGACAGTTCCTCAGAATTATATCCTGTTTAAAGAAATTTAATAATATTCAAGTGTGGAAACTGAACAAATAACACTGGAAATAACCATGTTTGGTTTTCTCATTTGAGCTGAGCATTTCTTTTGCATGCAGCTCATCTATCAGCCTCATCAGCTCTCTTTTATTATTAGCCTTTACAGCCGTAACAAGCTCCTCAAATTCAGTTTTGGGTGATCTTACTGTGATTTTATATGTAACTCACCAGCATTTATACTCTTTTCTATTTTCCTCACTTGCACAGGACTTACTTTTGCTGCAACCTGTCTTATTACTTCTATTAGCCTCCTTCACTACTTTAAACCAGATTTCTTTGCGTTGTTACTTGGCAGTCTGTCAGTGGTGATTTAAACATAGCCTTTAGACAAATTTAATTTTTCACCTTCTACATATATTGTTTCATCTTTCTCATTTTTGTAGTTCTCTTCATAACCTATTTTTGACTGTAGTGAGGGCTTCCTACACATAATAGTCATGACTAAAGAATGGTGCTCCTACCTTGTGCCAGATTTTCCACACTGCTCACAATTAAACAGCTGCATGTATTTTTTGAGTTCTTACTTTGCTCCAAAATGCAATTAAATTATGACACTTTGCAGAAGCTGGAAGTAATACATTTCAGAATAGCTTAAATGTACTACTGACAAACTACATCAGTACATCAGGGCTTACTACATAATTTATAGATAAGAGTAAACACAGATTAATTCAACAGTGGGAGTTAGACAGGGCCATTCTTCTCCCAGGCTCAAAGCTGTGCAAAGAGTCCCCATGCGTGTGACAGAGGTGATGGAGGTGTTGTAATACTTATTCCAAGTTTGTCCATCTTCATTTTTTGAAGCTAACAGATTAGCCTTAGCATTGCATTACTTACATACTTTTTACAAAGCACATTCAAAGAAAGTTGTACAGCCTCACAATTCAGGCACTTGAAAGTTTACAAATGACAGCTTCCTGGTTTGACAGAGAGAGGGTGACATGGCTTGAGGAAGTCTCTCGACACATTACCTGTCTGGAACATGGAAGTACTCCTTGGACCAAAACTTCCCCAACAGCAAAAACTAGTAGTTCAAACAAGTCACAGAGACCATGACCAGCACTGCACAAGGCATACTGCCATCATGAACCCAATCCTCTTCTCTGTCTACACAGGGCAATCTGAAGCGAGGGAATGCCTTCTCAAACAGGCTTGCGTCTTGGGGCATCGGCACAGCCTATGTGGTTTAGCAGACTGGGAGTGCGGAGGAGAGCTGCTGCTCCTTCTCCAACTGCTCCATGAAGCTCCTAGCACAGGTCCTTCTGCCCTGACCAGGAGACATTGGCAAAGCCTGGCTGGGAAACCTTGAGCAGTTTGGGCAGGTTATCAAACCATTCCCTAAACACCACCACTTGGGGAATGGAAATGGAAACTGTAAAACATTATAAAACTGTTAAAATAAAGGAAACTTTCCTTCCTTAGCCCAAATGGGTTTTCCTTGACTGAATATGAAGGACTGGCTGAGAGCAACAGTAATGCAAAAGCTTCTCAAAGACCCTAAGAATCCTTTATGATAGTGATGGAAAACCTACGCAGTGATTTCTCACTACAGTCTCCCCTACACTCTCCACTACATAATATAAAAATACCTGAATATCATCATGGTATCACATGTATTTACAAACACACTCATACATGTTCTTCATCACTTCCAAGGGTTGATCAAGTATTTTCACTGAACAACAGCAGCACCTTATATTACATACATGTTACAAATTACTGAAAAAGTGTGTTTTAAAAAAGACTTGGAGTAGTTTACTGAAACTCAATTTGAGTTTATTCGTTGGCCAGTAAAGGCACATTTGTTCTTGACATCCAGCTGCAGAGGTCTCAAAACATTCACAAATACTCTTCAAAAAGCTTACGGTTCCTCTAACAAAACTACCACATTTTGAAAATTCTGGTACCTGGTAAGGCAAGGAAAGCTCAGCTGGAGAAATCAAACACAAACACATCAGAAGTGAGGTGGAACCATGTCTCCAGATGCACGCACATGCTGCATGCAAAGGCAGTGTCCTGAGACAATGCCCTGCACAGAGCCTTGGCACAACTCGTCTTCATCTGAATACTGGATTACAGGCTCTGTTTTTTACAGATCCAAACAACATCTTCAGAAAAAAAAAATTATACTTACTGGGAGAGTTACTTTCTTCAAGTGGCATTCCTTTTGCAGTAGTTCATAAACGTACTTAGTAATGATCTGGAAGAAAAAAAAAATAAAGATAAAAAGAAATGCAAACACACATTAAATCGCTTACCGGAATGATATATCCAGGCAGACAACTTAAAGGATAGTTGATTGAACTTCTAAGCACTTGTATATGTTTTGCCACTTATCTGAATTCTTTACTATACCACCAATTATAGAACTTGGAACTTTACACAAAAAGGTCCTCTCTGTCCCTCAGAAAAGGCTGCTAGCCAGTACAAAGAAATTGTAACTGTACCTGTGAATCCATCACGTGCTGCTGTGTGAATAATTACGTGCCTCAAAACTAAGGATTATAACCAATTAATATATACTCAGGGGTACAAGAAAGGCTTTCTTTGGCAAAGCCAAAAAGCTTTTAAAAGCATTTTTTCCATAAGCAGGACTCCTGAAACCCTCTCCCCTGCAGGATCACTTCATGAGCTACATGGAGAGCAGATCTTTAGTCACCCTCAGCACAAGTTGCCTTGCCATTTCTGTTCACTGAACAGGGGAGGGATGGGTCAAAGGTTTCTAAATAGAAGAAAAACCCTGACTGATTCCCCACTATGGGGGCCCCACTATGGGTGAGTTTAAGTCTCTTGTTTCCATGTAGAAATAAAATTGAAATTTTAGACCTGAAACAAAAGGAATTATTTCAAAGAGTAACCAAAAAAAATCAACCTAGTCACAACGAAAGACTTGCTGTCTCAAATGTAAAAAAGTTGTTCACACTTCAAAGGCTTGCCTAATATCTAGGGAAATTTTTTTTCACCCTTATATATAAGAACTTTGTAACTATTATTAATTTGGGAATTAAGCTGAGGAACAAACTAAAGCACTTTGTCCATATGGGGCTGTAAAATGGTTTGGAAGTAACTGCTTGGATTTCACTGGCTATGAGTTTAAAAAAAAATAAATTAAAAAAAAGACAAATTAAAGAGGAAAAAAAGTGCTCATTAAGAGCCTCAAATGGTGCCTGCCTTCCCTTTAAAGCTTGGGGGACTATGTGTAAATTCCAGACAGGACAAGATCTAAGTCCCAAAATATTAATCCAAGAATATCTGGGTACAAACCCAGCTGGTACTCTTTAGTCCAGCCCCTCAGGGCCACAATTACAGCCATCTGAACCCACAGAATATTAATCCACAACAGAAGCGTTGCTGTAACAAAGCTCTCAAGTGATGGCGTCTTAACAACACACTATGAACTGAGCAAGTAGGAGCCAGGGTATCATAAACTTCAATTTTAATTTTCCAAATGCACAATTACCAAATAAAGTTTCAATGAAGTCCAAAAGTTTTCATTATGTACATGTGAGCAAACACAATATGCAAACGTTTGGAACACATTTGAACAAATTAGAGGTACTGACGAAAACTAATTAAAAACGTTGGCACGTGCCCCTCCCTTCTTTTCACAAAAGCCCCAAATCTTTATTAGGATTACGTGAATTCTTTGCTACCCTGCTCAAATATGTTTATTGATAGAATTTTGTTCAAAAAACTTTATGGTTTTAAAGAAAATCGGTCTTACTGAACATTACTATCTACAGGGAAACTGCATTTGAAGAAGGAATTTAGCTGTGAGCGATGAGTTGATTTAAGACATGTTTATCCCCAAAGCAGTATGTTAGGAACATGCATACAGTGTAATTTTACCTTCAGGGCCGAACTTTTTATGGTTCACCGAAATCAACTTCAGTGTAATGCCAACAAGTAAAGCAGTTAAGTTCCTGCAGTCTCAGACGCTGATGTACAGACATTAAAATGAGTATAATGATAATATGGCCTCGAACATAGAAATTTTATTTTTCACTCAAAATCCACGCATCTACTAACCATCAAAAACACCAAAAGAACACTTGGAAGAGAAAAAAATTGATATGAAGAAATTATATTTTAGACAACACTTGCAAAAATTTACGCTTTTTTGCAGCTATGTGTTTGTATCTATTTCTTCTGTTCTCTCTCATCTGTTTAGATTGCGATGTCTTCAGGGCAGAAGTAAACCTTTACACATTTTTTCCACAGCCTCGCTCTATGGGGCTCTGATCCTAACTGGCTCTTTATGCACTACTCTAATATAATACATAGTGATATCAGCCTTAAAAATGGGACTGTTAAATCAGTAGAGCACTCTGGTATAGGAAAGACATAACCTAATGAATGCTTTTAATAAGAGTGAACACGAAGAAAGATACAGTAGGCTGGAGTCTCGGAGGTAAAGTGTGAGATTATGATCTTCAGGCAGCTCAGCACCTGCATGGTCTCCACAGCCCAGACAGACTTGAGGAAAAACTGCCGTAAACTGCCCCAGTATATATAAGACCACAAGAGGGATTTTTTTGGCAGCACATCAACAAGTTCAGGGATATCCTAGCAATGGCTGGTATGCTGTCAACTTTAAAGGATGGAAGGTGATACACAAGATTTCTTGAAGTAGCATCGAAGCCCAAAATTTCCCAGATTTGAAAACATCATCATAATGGCCAGGTTTCCTGCACTTAGCACAGATGTGCCTGGAAAATCTAGCAAAATCCCGTCCTACCTAGGAATATGGCTGCAAGCACTGAAAATGCTACAAATCCAACATTACTTTTGGAATTTTATGCTTTTAATTACTTCTTGTGACCTTATCGCTGATCTGTAATTTTGAAAAATTAACTTTTAAAATATCTTTTCTACAGGCATTAAAAAGAGAAGACAACTGTGCTATATTATTTATATAGCACTAGTTAGACTTACTGTTACAAATCTATACAATTTAAATAGCCACAGCTTCTTTAAGTAGTAGTATTAGCTTGTGTGTGCTGGCATTTTAAGATCTGAAAACTGTTGTAGGATGTTGAAAAGTGTCTTGTGACTTCTTCCATGAGACAGCAAGTACGGTTATACTCTATGAACTCTCCTGGACTAATATTCGGTCATGTGGCAGCTCATGACTGCAGGTATTTAGTGACAGAAGCTGTTCAATCCAGTCCAGTGTTAATAACTCATCTGGAACTACCAAGCAACAAATTGTCCAGTACAAGCCATTCTCAAGGCAAACTGTAACACTTGCTAGAGAGCCCTACTCACATAATTCGTACTAACCTGGGGTATTTATGCTTTTTCTAAGGCTCTTGCAACTCATAAGGTGTGCCAACACCGTAAGTAGTATGCTGCATTGTAATTCAAGGTAATAAGGTTGCTGGTGAGCAGGCACCACCATGTCTGAGATGGGAAAGAAAAAAGAACAAATAGTAAGGCTTGCCCAAAGTGTGTGAAATTAATTGCCTGACGAATGGAGGAAAAAATGGTAGTTCTCTAGTTCTTGTATAAGCCAATGGAAACTTCAACCCCATTTTACAGTATCTGTACTGTTCATTCACTTCCAAGTGCAGTCTATCAGGAAAACACATCCCAAACAGGGTAAGTATCTGAACTAAGCACGATCAAGGTATTCTTATTGTCTGCTCTGAGAACTGGGGAAAAAAAAAACAAACACAAAACCAAAGAGATTCCATGCCTCTCATCATTTATTCTGATAGCAAGGGAGAAATCCTTTACAACCACAAAAAGGTACTTGGCCTAACACTTCCACCCACCACAAAGCTTGTATTCAAACTGTGGGATAGGAGAAACTTTCCTCCCAGCACAAAGTGGTCCTCTTTGTAAGGAAACTAAATGGCTTATTTGCTCTCAGTCAGCTGAGGAGCCAGTGTCCTGCTTTCCATAAGCCTGAGCATCTTCTGTCCTAAATGCAGTCATAGCTTTTCTTACTTTTGTTGGACTACAAAAATTCCCAGAATGAAGGTAGGCTGATGAGAGCAGGGACCAAGGCCGAGTGGAGTGCATACTGAACAGTAAAAACAGTGGATTATCCTGGGCATATTAAAAAACACGAGTACCTAATCTCTGCTACCATTTCCTTGTTCCAGTTTTCCTTCATCTACTGTGGACAAGGTTGAGAGCAGTAATACATATGGCTCAGGACAGGAAGCAAACTTCAGTGCTCACAACTGCTCTTCTGAGGAGCTCAAAACAGTAAGACTTCTGACTTACGTTGGATATAACAGCGTTAATACCTCCAGAAGTACCCTTTCAAAGTGCTAGTGGCCCCAAATATAACATCTGCAAAGTTCAGTAGTCTTACAGATAATTAGGGAACACACCTATGTCATGATCATTGATCCTTCATATGGATCCAGAACATAACCTGTTTTAATTACAGAGATATTAAATTTGGATGGACAGCAAAAAGGATAGAGACAGAGAAGACCACAGAAAGAAAAGAGAAACACATTATCTTATGACAGAGCTGAGATTTTACCCTTGCGTTGCTAAATATTCCGCACAATGATGGCCAAGACTATAACGCTGTATGCAGTCTGCAGAGCAAAACTGAAACTCCAGATGGAAACATAGTTTAATACACATTAATTGCTAAGGTCCTGGCTTCATATGACTTGTGTTCTTCTAAGATTATGTTGTTCATATAGAGGACTTTCTTCAGGACTGTTTTCAGTTACCATAAAGCATTGAAAAATTCTGTTAGCAGCATAATTTGTAAAATCTTTGCAATATACCATCCTGAAGCTACACGATCAAAAGATCAATACCTGCACACAACTATGTGAAAAGAGAAATTAAAGACTAAGAGCCACTGAGACCAACATGTTTAAAGTTACAAAGATCCTGAAGGTACTGAAACATAAACATGATTGTAAGTGGAGACAAATACCAAGGAGACTCTTCTATGCACTAAGTATCAGAGGTCTTTAAACAGTAAAGATCTGGAAAAGAGGACAAACAAAAGCATGCCCACAAAGCAAGAAGGCAACTCCAAAATAACTCAGTTTAAAATAATATACCCCCATTTTAAGTTTGTAAGAAACTGAAAGAAGCCTTATAACACATATCAAAAACATCAAGAAGCAGCCTGGCACACATGAGGAAGAGCAGAACTGCAGCTGACCCACTGGTGAACTTTTTCATAACAGAGATAGTCAGGTATACAGACAGCAGATC